CCCACTTCAACCAGTCGGCTGTCGTCCATATGTGATTTCGCCATTCGGCATTAGCTCCGAAAACAGTCCAACTGCGATCGCCGTGCCCTGTGCACCTGCAGAGGGGACAAGGCCCCGACATCAACGAATACCTCGGTAATTGAAGTGTGGCCGCAAAGTAGTCTAAGTCACCAATGATCGTCCACAAAACGCCATAGAACCCATCGGCCAAGAAAGTCAAGGCTTTTTTGCCTTGGACCGAATCCTTGGAGTACCTGGCTCTTGCAAAAGCACTATACCCAATACACATCCACAAAAACCACCCTGAGTGACCACAAGAAAAGAGAACTGTGCTAAAGTAGTTGCTTGTGGCTTAACTCCGTCGTGGTCTCTGTCCGGAAAGACCCCCTTGAAAAGCCAATGAAAAGACCATCTCAGAATTCGAAAAAAAGTGTGAAGTGTACTCTCGCTTCCAGCGGCGAGGGGCACTCGGAGTCGCTCGAATAATCCATAAATCCAGAAAAGAACTTCGCTTGTGGCACCACGGCCCAGAAGACTTGCCCAGCACCACTGCGTCAATTTCCCTGTCCATGCCTTTCCTATCCCCGTCACGGGGACGTCATCCCCGTGTAGGGATAGTGGTATTGCCAAAGTGAACCTGTTCGGCTTGAAAGAAACTGCGTGGCCAGCCATTTGCGGATGGGATTCTTGGGCTTGCCAAAACAAGCGAACACAATCGGCACTTCCATATAAGCTTTGCCTCCAGGCACCTTTGTAGGAATGATATATGGTACTGAAAATCTCGTGGGGGAGAAGCATTGATTGAAATTGATCATTCAAGGGCTTCACAAATGGAAGTGTTGCGACAAAAGGTCGCGGAATCGATATACCCCGGCATTGCTTTATGAGGTCGGCATAGCATTTGTTTTGATGATGGCCCTCCGTGCCAATCTTTGCCATGTTCCTCAAATCTTCAACATGCCCAGTTCCATTCATGCAGGCCTCAATGTCTACCATGGCGAGACTTGCGAGCTTCTGCACTCGCTGTGCAGACATCTCGCCCCAGGCAAAGAGCTGTAGAAGGAACGATGCTAAGACTGAATGCCCCGCAATCGTCGTCGCATTCTCCACTTTGGCTTTCTTCCGTCTTTGACGGATACCACCAGTGCGACTTCGCTTATTCTTCGGCGGCATCTGAGCAATACTTTGGGAAGGACCGATATATTAAGGCTTGGGTTTAGGTGTAACCGCCAATCCTAAACCCGTAAATAACCTATGAAGCTTTATATACGTATAAGGTTGCTGAATACTTATAACATGATGCTATCGCCTAAACTGCAACTTCATGGTGTTTCTGCGGTTTCTTGCTCGTGCGGGGCCCAACTCTTGAGACTCTTGATCCTGTGCCGACACGACAACAAGAGACACTTGACAGAGATTCACTTGAGGGACCTGAGGGACTCGCACTTGTGAGATTGAAGGACTTGAGGGACTTGAGGGACCTGAGGGACTTGAGGGACCTGAGGGACCTGAGGGACTCCCACTTGTGAAAGCCTTAGAGGCTGTGTGGCGTTTTGTTCTTTCTCTCTCTCTCTCTCTCTCTCTCTTTTTCTCTCCGAGTTTATTTTCACTCTCCCAAGCGACCCATGCTCTCCGAGTCTATGTGCTCTAAATCTCGCTTCCCTCCGAAAAGGGTTTAGGGTTTAGGGGTTTAGGGGATTAGGGGTTTAGGGTTTAGAGTTTAGGGTTTAGGGCACACCATTTCCAAAGCAGTAACCACGGCGATGCGGGAAGCTCTGGGGCCCCAGGTTCCAGGCTGAAGTGTTAAGAAGAGCTCCTGTGTACAGTATTATTGATTTGGACTCTGGTATTGGGTCTGCAGTGTGGCTACTTGAAGAAAGTATTGGTTGGTACTTTTGTCTGCAGAGAGGCTTTGTTGTTGTCTCGGTGTTTGCAGGCTTGGGTATTTGTCTAAACCCCCCGTTTATACCCCGAAAGTCCAAACCCTGAGCCTCCAATTCACAAAAGTGTATTATATGCCCCCCAACAGACCGAAGATCGAAAAAAGTGTGTTATGCCAATCTACAAGCCAAGAGTTCAAGCAAAGCCCTAGTTCACTCTAAACCCCCTCCAATCCAAAAAAGTGCGTTATGCCCCCAAACTCAGCGAAGTTCGAAAAAAGTGTGTCATCACAAACTCTAAGCGAAGATCCCAAACTAAGGCCTATTTGACTCAAAGCCCCCTTTTATACCCCGAAAGTCCAAACCCTGAGGCCTCCAATTCACAAAAGTGTCTTATATGCCCCCCAACAGACCGAAGATCGAAAAAAGTGTGTTATGCCAATCTACAAGCCAAGAGTTCAAGCAAAGCCCTAGTTCACTCTAAACCCCCTATAACCCCAAAGCCCAAACCCAGAGCCTCCAATCCAAAAAAGTGTGTTATGCCCCCAAACTCAGCGAAGTTCGAAAAAAGTGTGTCATCAAAAACTGAAAGCGAAGATCCCAAACTAAGCAAACTCGTTGTAGCCTTATATACCTTGAGCACACGAAGCCATAGTTTTTCGACACTGCGTGTGAACTTGCTCGGTTTCGGCAGAATCGCCTGGAGTTAGCCCGAGAGGCAAAAGTTTGGGACCATCACCTGGAAAACAAAACGTGGCTCTGAAAAGGAGATGGGATGCTGCAAGATGCCTTTAAAGATCACNNCTCTCAGTTGGTCGCGGACTTGACACGGCCCTTGCAGGCCTCAACCAAGCCGTTGTAGGCCTCCGTGTGCTTTGCCATCTCAACCAGCAGAGCATCAAAGTTCTCTTTTGTCATTTCTTCATCATCCGGGAGCTCGCGGAACTCGATGATGTGCTGGATCTTGTTGGCATAGCTCTTGCACAAGCTGCAGCCCTTCTTGAGCTGGCGAAGCTCGGCGGTCTCCCCGAAGGTCCAAGCTTTCGTCAGCGCCAAGCCTTCCTTGGCCAGCTTCTCCTGCGAAAGCAAGGAATTCTGCAACACCTTGTTGATGTTCTCCGGGATCTTCTTGCCCCTGGCGAAGTCCGTAGTGTCCTTTGCGGTGTACTTGAAGTACCAGCCCACACTTCCCAAGGCTTGCTTCAAAACCTCGGCGGTGTCCTTGTCCACCTTCTTCTGGCCGCCGATTATGTTCTCATCCTTGAAGCCTTGCTTCGTACCAATCTTCATGGTGCGGAATGCGAAGTACCTGGCCTCATCATTGGGATCTTCGCTGTCCACGGCCCTGATTTCCCCCTTGGCAAGGGCTGCCTCGAACTTGGAGTCGTTGCCGCCGTAGAACATGCCCTTGATGATCGACTCCGGATATGCGATGGACTCGTCCTTCTGGAATTTTTCTTTGTACAGCTTTTTGTGCTGCTGGAAGATCCCACTTTCCAAGCTGAGCTCGAGCTTGCCACTCTTGTTCCGCTTGAACATCTTGTTGATGCACTCCGTCCGAAATGCCCGTGGGCTTGAAGATTTCAGGGCCTGGTTTTCCACCAAATCGACCACAAACTCTGGCAAGGAGTCCTTCATTTTCTTGTACTTGATGCTTTTCCCTTTGTCGCGGGTGATGTCCTCACCGTCCTCGAGGGAACCCTCATCGGAATCGCCCTCATCATCGTCGCCCTTCTTCTTCCTCTGGACCGCCAGCTTCATATCCTCGATGGACTTATTGATGGCTCCGACAGCCGCCGGCTTCTTGAGGCAGCCGGAAGCTGCTGATGGCTTCTTAAGGACCTTCTTGACCATCTTGGACAAGGCTGGCATCCTGTCGCCCGGACACCAAAGCTAAGCGGCAAGGGTACTAGAAGCTGCTACAGCTACCACCAAAAACTTCTCATAAAACGAGATTGCCGGAGGAGAAAACTCAACATGATATGCAACCTACCGGGGGTTTTGATTTTGGGATCCCAAGAGATCAGGCTGGCTCAAATTAACAACATGGCTTTGGTTTGTCACACTTTCCCTCTCTCTCAGGCACGATTCCCTCAAGTGGCTCTCAGGTGTCCCCACCCCCGCTTTGTAGGGTTTCGGGGATTTAAGGTTTAGGTTTCTTTGGGCTGGGTTTGGGGTGGGGCTTTTGTTTCTTTGGGCTGGGGTTTGGGTGGGGCTTAGGTTTCTTTGGGCTGGGGTTTGGGTGGGGCTTAGGTTTCTTTGGGCTGGGGTTTGGGCGGGGCTCAGGTTTCTTTGGGCTGGGGTTTGGGTGTTTCTGCGGTTTCTTTGGGCTGGGGTTTGGGTGGATTTAAGGCTTAGGTTTCTTTGGGCTGGGGCCTGGGTGGATTTAAGGCTTAGATTTCCTTGGGCTGGGTTTCGATAAAACTTTCTCTAGCTATTGGGAAAGTTTAACAGAAGTTTCTATGAAACTTCTTTTGGCTATCTGTCACTTTGGTGGAAATTTGATAGAAACTTC